AGTAGCCATGTAAAATGCAGCATTAGCTTAAGTAAATCTGCAAAGGCTGAGTGAAATATGGCATTAACTGAGGTAAATCTCCAAGCAGGAAATTTACCTCAGGAAAATAAGGAAATCCAGTTTAGTTTCCAATATTAGCGTGACCACACAACCTCAGTGGTCTATATGTCTATTTAAAGAGGTTGGGTGACCAGCTTTTCCATGTTAGATGTAAATTGATCTTTTTTACACTTTCTGCCAGTTTATTTAAGTCGAGCATTCATTATTTGGATCAGACTACTTTTGCATTGCACATAAAGTTTAGGTTGTCTTTTTGTCTTCTTCCAGAAATGAATGATGTCCTGTTTCAAGTCCTACACTTTCTTGCCCAGCTTAAATATGCTTCTGTAATCAAGTCAGGACATTTCAAGTGGGAAGTTTAGCTTCTGAAACAGGTTAAATATAAAAATCATGCATGGGACTTTGTGGTACTCAGCAAACGTCATCTGGTACCCTCCACATGAACACATCTCACAGACAAACATAGAAACACAGCGAGGAGAGAAATCACCACTGCTTGGAGTGTGGAAAGTATTTTAATCATGGGAGTCATCTCAAAAAACACCAGCTCATTCACATTGGAAAAAAAACATATTACTGCTCAGAGTGTGGAAAGAGTTTCAGTCATCAGAGTTACCTTAAAATACACCAGCGCCTTCACACTTAAGAGAAGCCATATCACTGCTCAGAGTGTGGGAACAGTTTTACTCAACAGAGTAATTTTAAAACACACCAGCGCGTTCATGCAGGAGAGAAGCCGTATCACTGCTTAGAGTGTGGGAAGAGTTTTACTGTACAGAATCACCTTAAAATACACCAGCACATTCACACGGGAGAGAAGCTGTATCTCTGCTCAGACTGTGGGAAGAGTTTCAGGTGTTCAAAATCTGTGATGACACACAAGTGCACCAAAAGCAGTGGTGAAAACGTGCAGCAGTGGGTGTAACATTAACACATTCCAGAAGTAAAAGTCTCCTGAAAACGGTGCTTCCAGCCCAGAATTCAAACTGTTTTAGGGGAAACCACAGATTTTTGTTTAACCCTGTTTCTAAAATATGAGCATAAAATGAAATATAATTTCCTGTGCTGGCTAACAGCTCATACACCCAGTTTGGTGTGCTTCTTCATATTCTCCCCAAAATGCTAATTTTATTAGTATTATATGTTGAAAAGACTCAAGAAGTTCCACAATTAATGTTTTTTTCCTTTCTAATTTAGCATATCTATGCTAATAAAGTATCTCAGATGCAATGCCTGATGTTTTCACAAACATTTGACAGTGTGCTTGGCTTGTTGAGTTCCTCCTTTGCTTCCTTGATTCTTACATTAATCAGTTAATGCTTGTTGTTATGAAGGTGCCGCTTTTGTCTTCCTTTTTTAATGTTTTCTGAATGTTCTATGTTATGTTTTTTCTTGTTGAGGACTGTAATGAAGAAGATACGACCCTGAAGACTGCAACAGTGAAGTTTTTGCTGTGCTGGCCAGAAATTCTGATGTTATTTCTCAGCTTTTAGGATTCAAGAGATTCTGGTGCTGCTCTCAGCTCTCTGGGGTAACTGTTCATTTCAGTTCAGACGCTCTAAAATGGACAGTTATTCCAGTGAGTTGAGAGCACATATTCACTATATACAACCAACAGTTCTCTCTTTCAGTATAACTGTATAACACCTCTGAACCACGGTACTTATTTATACAACTGGATAAATGTTTATATCGTCCTGTAAATAGTAGTTCTCTGCACATAGACATATTCCATATTCACATTCATCCCTTTTGCTTTTTCCATGTTAGCAGTTTTATGTATAAAAGTCATTTAATCACTTAATTTTATTTGTATTTTTTTCTCTTTTTTAGAATTTCTTATAGTCTGTGTCCATGTCTGGTCTGTTTACGATGTTACATGTGTGCACACACTATGACAGATTCCTTGTGTGTGGAACATATTTAGTGAAATAAAGTGGTTTTGATTCTGAAGTAGATGACATTATGGATCAACAAAAAAAAGAAGTCTACATCTATTAGGTTACATAGCCTGGTAGAATACCTTAAACCTACATGACTTGTCAGTCTATATGTGCCAAAGAGAACTGCAAGGTAAAGCTTTTCAGTTTACCACAGCACAACTGAGATCAAAATTCAGAAATGTAGGAGAAACGCCCACTCATAATTTCTGTGATGTGATAAATCCCAAAAACCAAGACCACACTGTGAATTTCAAAAGAAAAGTAGATTTTTTTAGGTTTACAGGAACATTAAAATGTTGTTAAGAGAATAAAAATACATACAAACTGAGAAAAATAATCTCAGAAAGTTAAAATGTTCACACAAACATACATAACTTCACAGCAAAGGCTTAACCAAGACAAAAGCTTATGGAAAGTAATCAACACAGACCTGGGCAATACATTCAGTTCATTCAGTTCATAGTTCATGCATACAAATTGTATGTAAATTAGTCTACATAATTAATGGCATACACATTGATTCATCATTACAAATCAGAGCTATTGTATTGCAGACTTTGACTGTTTCAAGAACAAAACTGTACAGTGTGTCATTGGTGAGATTCAGTCAACAAAGATGGTGTCCCTCATGAACATCCTAATGATGTCAGCAAGAGTTAATCTGAGTCAGGCCTGTTACGATCTGTCTAGTAGTTTTGCAATAGTCATAACATAAAACATATCAGCGTTTAAGCAGATCAAGTTTTGTTATTTTCTTTCTTTTTTGCTGTTTTCTTAACCAACTCAGGATAGAAGTCAGAGTGGGCATGCACCAAAACAACAAAAATATTAGATGTAGCTGGGTGATTAGAGAACTAACTTACCTGCACGCAAATAAAGAAGCAAAAATAGTCTTTCCTAACTTCGTGACTAGGCCAAAAACAGAGGAAACATGGGCCAAAAGAAATGCTACCCAGTCCTACACCTTGGTGGGCAGTTATAGGAGAGTTACAGGTGTTGTTCTTCAACTTGCTGGTAAGTAGTAGAGATAAACTGGGCTGAAAGCATAACTAGGGCTAATCTAATACATTGCTAGAGAAAACCATACACAACTCGTAAAACAAGCATTTGACTGTACAGCTAAGCTGAACTACACAGCAACAATGTGTAAGTTGGGTATGTGTAATGTGTAATAGGTGTAAGTTGGAAACAGCTGCTGAAGAAATAACACATGCAGCCAGCCAATCAGACGCACGTCTTTTCACAGGACACAATCACACTCTCAAGTAAGTGGGTTTCTAATAAGTTTGAGAGAGAAAGAGAAAGAAAATGAAGAACTGAAAAAAAAACAATTAAACCAATCTTAACAAGGCCCAAATCCTTTACACTGTACACTATATTGCCAAACTATTTGCTCATCTGCCTTCACGCGCATATGAACCTGAGTGAGATCCCATTCTTAATCCATAGGGTTTAATATGATGTCAGTCCACCCTTTGCAGCTATAACAGCTTCAACTCTTCTGGGAAGGCTTTCCACAAGGTTTGGGAGAGTGTTTATGGGAATTTTTGCATACACTTCCTACTTTACACCTCAGCTGCTCGTGTTTTATCAGCGTGCCCCCAAAACGGTCAGCAGTTGGCGATGGAAGTGATGTGGCTTACTGTGATGAAAACGCAGCTTAAATAGTGCATGGCTACTGCAAGTCTTAAAAATATATGAATTACACATAAAAATACAAACTTAATCACACACCTGCACACATAGGTCTGTATTGCGTTCACATAATTTTAAAGTTTTAATCTTTTTTGTGAATAATTTGGAGCAGTTGCAGTTACACAATCATAAAATCTGGGGGGTTTGAAAAATAAATAGGATTGGAAAAATGCTATAAAGGCAAACAACTACTTTATAACAACTAAGATTATAGAGCTGTCATATAAAATAATCCATCAATTTTACCCAGTGAAGACTGTTGTTATTTAAAGATTCAAAACTGATGAAAATCATCACTGATATATGTTATGAAGGTGACTCTGAAATTATGCAGCATTTATTTTTTGATCATGTCCCACGGGAAAAGCATACTGGATTGATCTGCAAAATTATAGAAAACACCAGCCAAGCTTTCCCTTGACATTGGTCTATGCATATTTGTAGACAACTTTCATATACAGTGATTCTGTGATTGGGATACATTGGAGAGATAATCGCAATGGATGTTGGTGTGGAGTGTGAGGAATGCCAGTTCTTCAGAGCATTGAATGATGGTTCTTATGTCAGTAGCATTTGAGCACGCCATCTATCTTGTACTTTATCTATTAAATCTACATAACAATGAGGTCATTACTAATTTAGAACTCCCTTAGCACCTCCCTGAACAATCTCTCTACCCATTAAGACAATGTCAACATAGTAAGAGGTTGAAGAGGGTTTTATTCCTGCTGCAGTGTCAATAAAAATGTGTAAGAACCACAAACCTGTACTTCAGCTACAGGCTGGAATCAGAACAGAGAGAATTCAATACGTCATTTGGAAATTTGTGTGCAAATCTAAGCAGTGTTGTACCACCACACAAAGTAGTCACACTTTGCTCTTTAGATGTTCTTTATTAAAGAACAACAGGAAACGGGGAACATAGCATTATATTGAAACAATGGGGAAGGTCACAGACTTTCACCCCACTGGGACCAACCCCAAACACAAAACACCCACAACCCCAGAAACAATAAAACACATATATCACACAATGCAAACTAACAAATAACATTAAAACATTAATGTTGGTGTTCAGTACCGTAAATTATATTTCATTTTATACTCATACTTCCAAATACTTGAATAAAAATGGTGGGTTTTCTCTTTAAAAATACAATGTTTGAATAATCTTCTATCCAGATTTTTTAAATTGGGGATGGATGCACTGTTCCCTCCAGACTTCCGGCATGGTATTAAGGTTACTGCCCATTTCCACCACTGCTCTTAATACACTTGTGTATCTTCACAGAATAAGAATGCCTGAAACTCTTCCCGCACTCTGAGCAGTGATACGGTTTAACTCCTGTGTGAATGCACTGGTGTGTTCGGAGAGTACGCTGCCGAGTAAAACTCTTCCCACACTCTGAGCAGTGATACGGCTTCTCTCCTGTGTGAATGCGCTGGTGTGTTCGGAGAGTACTCTGCTGAGTAAAACTCGTCCCGCACTCTAAGCAGTGATACGGCTTCTCTCCTGTGTGAATGCGCTGGTGTTGCTGGAGAGAACTCTGTGTATTAAAACTCATCCCACACTCTGAGCAGTAATGTGGTTTAAATCCTGTGTGAATGTGCTGGTGAGTTTTGAGAGAACTCTGCTGATTAAAACTCTTCCCACACTCTGAGCAGTGATACGGCTTCTCACCTGTGTGAATAAGCTGGTGTGTTTTGAGAGTACTCTGATGACCAAAACTCTTGCCACAGTCTGAGCAGTGACACGGCTTCTCTCCTGTGTGAATGCGCTGGTGTGTTTTGAGATTACTCTGACGACTAAAACTCTTGCCACACTCTGAGCAGTGATATGGTTTAAGTCCTGTGTGAATGCGCTGGTGTGTTTGGAGGTGACTGTGTTGATTAAAACTCTTCCCACACTCTGAGCAGTGATACGGCTTCTCTCCTGTGTGAATGCGCTGGTGTGTTTTGAGGTGACTGTGTGCAGTAAAACTCTTCCCACACTCTGAGCAGCTGTGAGTTCTCTCCTTGCTGAGTTTCCGTGTTAATCTGTGAGAAGTCTTCATGTGGAGGGGAGCAAATAATGTTTGCTTGGAACTAAAGCTTCCTCTGGATGTCATATTCTTGTATTTTCTCTCTTTGAACAGCTGAACACTGCTCTTGCTAGAATGTCCTGACTTGCAGAAGTCCACTCTACAAGCAGGAGAAGTCTTGAACCAGGATGAAATTCATTTCTGGAAGAACAAAATGAAAAAGACAAAATTAGTCTAAATCATGAATGCCCTACTTACATTATCTGGCAGAAAGAGTTAAGAAAGCTTAAACTTCAGTCAGCTGTGGAAAAGCCAATTACCTGATCAGCGATATCAAACGCACATACTTAATCTCATCTCAGGCTTTTGTTTTTCTGAAATTGTAAAACTGTGCATTAGAATTGGATAGAATATAGGTCAATGCTTTTTTCAGATACATATTATGTATCTAACACAGTTTTGTTACAGTATAGTATGTAGTAGGTGTTTTCCATTGTTATCGCGTTATCAAGTTCAGCTATAGATGTGTTTGGAAAACCATGTAGTATTATAATTTCACTGAAGCAAGCTGAAGTTCCAAGGCACATCAGCATTTATTCTCAGTTCCATGCACTCAGGCTAAGCTTACTGTAAAATAAAATAAGTTGAAAGAGAAGAGATTAGAATAAAAGTAGAAGAAAAAACAGGCTATTAGAGTACCCCCAATCTTGTTAAAGGAATGCGATACCCAATTACCCAACATATTTACCGTGCTTTTGAACAGTAAATATGTCTTCTACTTCTCTAGTTCTCTTTCCCTACACAGGGATTATTGAGTTTTACGCATCGCCATCGGGTTGCTTGTCTATCACAAATGTTATCAGATTACAATGCCTTGTCACCCTGGTCCAGTACGTAGTCAAATAAGCATGGTCCAGATGATCGAAAAACTGATGGAATTTTCAAAATAATTTTTAACGCTCCTTGTAAATCTTCATTGTATGTGCAACGTTGTGGGACTTTGGTTAGGGTCTAAGTCTAAGTAGCTTATCTTGTTTTCACCAGGTTGGAGTGCTTGTGGTGTCACAATTAGTTGGCTAGGCTCTATGAGCTGGATTTCATTGCCTATATTGATCAACTTCTTGATCAATATAGGCAATATAGCACTCTGATCTTGCAATTTCAGCAGCTTTTCATATGTATCAAAAAGGTAGTTTCCTTGCATTCCTGAGTTGTGTTCTTATTTGTTAAATTTGCATATACTGAGTTTATGCTTTCAGTGTTAATGAGTTGATTATTGTGTCCATCTTAGATTTAGTTACTGATTATGTAATGATATGTGGTGATTTTGGCTACTTTCACAACTTAACCACACTGTGTTCATATGCCTCCAATCCTTAAATCACCTGACAGAGCTCCCTACATTTATCTCCCACATACTGACAGTATAACTGCCGTGTCACATTTATTACATTTTTCATAAGTTTTGGGGGAGGGAATACCTGAAACTGTGCAGGACAGTGGCTCACCCAGGACTGGACTATGGCATACAAAGGTTTAACGTAGCTCCACTCCAACAATAAAAGAGGTGAAACCAGAACAAACTGTTTGGAATTGAAAGATAAACAAAACACCCATCCCTTGACTGGAAACACATACAGAAATACCTGGTACAATCCATGGTTAAATGAAACTATTTTTATTTAAAACAAATGATAGTGATGTCATTTTATCTTGTAGTTTAATGGTCAACAAAACTGCTTATTTTCAGTGGCAAATTACATATTCTCAGATGCCCCCATCTGATTATAAGCCCCTCTAAATTTTATGTACCTCTGCTTTTGAGTCTGTATGGCCTTAGCTGTAAAATATCTCTGTTCATGCTTATTAATAAATATATTTTTATATAACTATTTTATTTTAAACAAAGGAAATAGTAAAGTGCAAATTCATTATGTGTGTAAATTTGAACTGCACTGATGCAGTAGAAGCATATAAAATACTGAAAAACCTATATTAATAAATAGAAAGGTTGGATAGCCTCTTCATTCTTCATATTGCTTTCTCCCATTAAAATGATGTAGCACAACATACACATCCTACTTTTCCTATATGCATGTATTGAATATAGTACAATACATTACAATTTAGTACTGGATTATCATGTTTTTTTTTTTTGTTTTTGGCCAAGTGTCAACAGAAAGCTCTGTGTTTTGGATTGGATGCTCCTCAAAAGTCTAAACTTTAAATTCTTCTTGAAATATTCTGTGTTACAATATTAGTGTGAACTTCTACGGTCAGTTACGGTGTAACTGTGAGCTTCTGTGTAACTGAAGACAAATTCCTTGAATGTACAAACACAACAGGCCAGTTAAGCCTGGTTTTCTGTTCTGAGTAATCTGTTTCCTGAGGTCTGAGATTTAGAATAAATACATATATATATATATATAGCTTTATGCACTTACCCAAAGCTTTGTCCAGTTCTCTGCTGAAAATCAGTTCCTGAATCTGAAAATATCAGTCTCTGAATCTGTGTCTGTGGAAAATCATAAATCACCTGTAAGTTAATAAAAATCCAGTTTCTTTTAGCTCGTAACACTTGGTAGCTAATACAGATTGTACTAACATGGAACGACACACTGCACTGTAAAGCTGTATCACTAATACACCTCTTGGTGTCTTGGTCACTAATACACCTCTTGGTCTCTTTACAGTCTTCATCTACAGTCTTTTGTAGAAACAATTTGAATGCCTCCAATCAGATAAAAGTAGGTGGGGAGGGGCGGGTCTTATGCTGCTGAAACACTCAGGCTCAAACAACTGGATTTCAATTCTAGTAAATCCTTTTTTTCCATTTGAGCCCAACCAACTGGTGTAGTATAAAATTAGAACTCTGCAGAGTCAGCTAAATTTATACACACAAAACAATAAAAATCAAATTGAATCTTGATCTCAGAATCTAAAATTTAATCATTAATTTAATCAAATTTAAACATTAAGTTTAAATTTAAGTTTTGATTAATCAATGCAATTCAATTTAAACATTAAGTCATGAATATGAGCCACATATTCAGTCACCTCATATTTTTCCTGTATTATAAATGTATCATACTGAATATAATTTTACATTTTAAGTACGGTTTTGAATACACAAAAGTTAGAAAATGTAATGATAATAATCAAACTCACGATATTATGTAATGATTGTGAGAGACGTGGGGCTGTATTACAGAAACTATTACAAAAAATCTTTTTTGTCTTAACTTAAGATCTGAATGCTCAAGATATGATTTTTAAAAATTTAGTATGACAGGAGCCAATATTAATTTATATATTCTATTTTATCTTACAGAATTTTATCTGAAGTTAGGAAATCTTAACTCAATTCAAGTCGACAATAAACCATCATGTCTGTAACCTAGCAACTGACCATATGCACACAGCTGAAACATAAACACATAATCAAAATGATCAAGGTAGACAGCCAGACAGCTGCCGTTACTGATGCAACAAAGGTACAACTAAACGAAAGCACTAAATATTATGTCAGAACTTCGTACTGTTTATCAGTGTTGCTGCTCCCCAGTTTCAGTCTCCATTTCCCAAACGCTTTAGCTAATGTTATTCCCCCTAATAAACAGACATGCGTTCAGCTCTGTCTCCTCATTATTCACCATCACTGTAATATATTATTGTTAACATTACCACACAAAGGTAATCAGAGAGATGGTGGAGGTTGTGTATGCAGTATCTGAGATTTTTGAAATGCAGAGTTAGAAAAAACAACCCACAGTGAAAGCAGAGTTTCACAGTAGAAATAAATGTAGCGTCATTATGCTAGTAGTGAACTATGCTGCCTGTCACTCCATAAAACAATAGAAACAGATTGTTCAAACAGAGCGCCTCTGGGGTTGTTAGGACGGAATTTAGGAGATTTTGATTATTTAGGATGTTTGTGTTTTCTTATCTGGAGTTAATAGATAAGATTATGAACTTAAGAACTGTTGTTCTGTAATAGCTTCTGTCCTAAATTCAGTCCTACCTGAAGTTGTCATGGTGACTGAACAGATAAGATTTCAGACTTAAAAAGTTTCTGTAATGTGGCCAAGATAGAAATTCTCTGACCCTTGCAGGACATTCCAATACATTACTTTACTAAATTAAAACTCCATTACATCAAAAAAAAAATGCTGCATTGCCATGGCAACGGCCCTATTGTCTACTTTAAATAAATGCTTCTTTTACTTCGAACAACAAGATTGTCGTCAATGAATCTGCATTCAAATTAGAAACAATTTACTGTTTAGACCACAAAGATCAGCAGGAAAAATTACTTCATCATGAATGTCACTACCCACCCCATCATGCTCTATTCACACTCTATTCACAACCATGCTCTTTGGAGAGAGTGTGAAAGATCAAGGACCATCACTTTTCAGTTTTATATAGATCAGAGGTTCCCAGTTTGTCCTGGAGAGTCCACACTACATGCATGTTTATACTGTTCCTTATCTAGCACTCCAAATTCAACTAATTAACTAATGAAATGCTGGATGGTGAGTGTTAAAGTAGAGAAAGTACAAAAACATGCAGAGTGTGTGGTCCCCAGGACTGAGATTGGGAAGATAAGAACCAACCCATCAAGCTCCTGAACAGCTCACACAGTGCACCCCCCTCTAAAAAGACCTCAAACACCCAACATAAACTTTCATGCCAGTTCTTAATCTACCAGACATTGACCACTAACCCCCACCCAGACATTCACAGCTCTTAGGAAGCTCTTTATATTGTTGTAGAACAAACTGCTGTTTTCTCACCACTTTTGTACATTGTTTTATTAGGGAATGGTTGATAAGATCTGCTTTATGTGTTTAAACTGACAATGGAGCAGATAGTTATGCATAAACCCTTTAATGTCCTCACCATGAAAGCACACACACACACACACACACACACATCTTCTAAGCCGCTTATAAGAAAAAGCAATGTTTTTTTATATTTGTATTTGGAGCAATAATAAAAACAATTGGTGTTTTCTTCCCCCAGTTTTTAAAATATTCACGTCTATATTTGTTCTGATTTTGCCACAAATCTACCAAACTGAAGTGCCATCTCGACAGTTTGGTAGATTTGTGGCAAAATCAGAACATATATAGATGTGCATACATATAAAATGTGCTAGACCACAAAGATGAGCAGAACGTTAAATAAGGGACTCCTCTTCACAGTTTGTTTGAAAATTGAGGAGTTGACTTGATAAAATTACAACACAAAAGAGCAGAAGTATATGAGATAAGCCAAGAATCGTTGGGTGGAAAGCCATAAACAGCATTTTAATCCACTGTAAGTGCATTATTACCACAATAAATGAATTGACATGCTTTCCAAGTAGCATGTATAGTATAAATCATTAATAAATCAGAAACAAACTGCTCCATGTTTGCCAAACCCAACTAGGAGAACATTATCATCCAAATATTCTGGCCCAGCATTTAATACAAAAACAAAACATAATGCAGATCTTATCAATCATTCAACAATAAATAAAACAATGTGCAGAAACAGATCATGCCATATTGAACGTGGAGCTGTAATTAATGTAAAAATGTAGACTGATATGCTGACATTATCCAAGCTTGGTACAAATAGTTACAAATAGGGTGTAGTGTGTAAGAGTCGTTCAGAAGCTTAATGGTCTAGTTCAGATGTTCCCAATCCCAGACTATGTACTCTGCATATTTTTGAGCTGTCCCTACTTTAACACTCACAATCCAGCATTTAATCAATTAATGTGTTTAATTTGTAGTGTTAGATATGTGAAAGTACACACATGTGCAGAGTGTGGATTCTCCAGGACTGGAACTGGGAAACTCTGGTCTAAATGAAACTCAAAACTGGTGTCATCAGTGATTTATTTATCAGATAGTTTCTTGTTTGAGGTAAAAAGATTTATTTAGTTAGGTAGTTAGGTAGACATCGGCCAACCCTAAAGAGCATTTTTCAGAGATATTTCTCGATCTTCCAGATCCTGCCTTGACTTCCGTAGTTGTCCATAATTAAATTCTTATTGCAATTTTAAAGTTTATATGCAGAAAGTATTCAGATATATTTAATATTCTTCTCATGCTTTGTAAAAGTAATTTATCTATAGTTTCTTATACTCAGTCAGCTGTTTAGATGAGCCCATGGCTGTGAAGTGTAAGAGGTTTAAAAGATCACATATTTGATTATGCTCTGACTTGTCTGAATTGTCTAAAGCAGAGGATACAGAAATAATTAATGCCTTTAATTAAATCCAGTTTAGTTTCCAATATTAGCATGACCACACAACTTCAGTGGTAGAAGCTGTATCTCTGCTCAGACTGTGGGAAAAGTTTTAATCAGAAGAGTCACCAGCGCGTTCACACAGATGTTAAACCATATTATTGCTCAGAATGTGGGAAGAGTTTTACTCAACAGAGTAATCTTAAAACACACCAGCGCATTCATGCATGAGAGAAGCTGTATCTCTGCTCAGATTGTGGGAAGAGTTTCAGGTGTTCAAAATCTGTGACGACACAAAAGTGCACCACAAGCAGTGGTGAAAACGTGCAGCAATGGATGTAACATTAACACATTCCAGAAGTAAAAGTCTCCTGAAAACGGTGCTTCCAGCCCAGAATTCAAACTGTTTTTAGGGGAAACCACAGATTTTTGTTTAACCCTGTTTCTAAAATATGAGCATAAAATGAAATATAATTTCCTGTGCTGGCTAACAGCTCATACACCCAGTTTGGTGTGCTTCTTCATATTCTCCCCAAAATGCTAATTTTATTAGTATTATATGTTGAAAAGACTCAAGAAGTTCCACAATTAATGTTTTTTTCCTTTCTAATTTAGCATATCTATGCTAATAAAGTATCTCAGATGCAATGCCTGATGTTTTCACAAACATTTGACAGTGTGCTTGGCTTGTTGAGTTCCTCCTTTGCTTCCTTGATTCTTACATTAGTTAATGCTTGTTGTTATGAAGGTGCCACTTTTGTCTTCCTTTTTAATGTTTTCCGAATGTTCTATGTTATGTTTTTTCTTGTTGAGGACTGTAATGAAGAAGATACGACCCTGAAGGCTGCAACAGTGAAGTTTTTGCTGTGCTGGCCAGAAATTCTGATGTTATTTCTCAGCTTTTAGGATTCAAGAGATTTTGGCGCTGCTCTCAGCTCTCTGGGGTAACTGTTCATTTCAGTCCAGACGCTCTAAAATGGACAGTTATTCCACTGAGTTGAGAGCACATATTCACTATATACAACCAACAGTTCTCTCTTTCAGTATAACTGTATAACACCTCTGAACCACGGTACTTATTTATACAACTGGATAAATGTTTACATCGTCCTGTAAATAGTAGTAGAAAATCTACATAATTAATGGCATACACATTGATTAGAAAAGCATTCTGGATTGATCTGCAAAATTATAGAAAACACCAGGCAAGCTTTCCCTTGACATTGGTCTATTCATATTTGTAGACAACTTTCATATACAGTGATTCTGTGATTGGGATACGTTGGAGAGATAATCGCAATGGATGTTGGTGTGGAGAGTGAGGAATGCCAGTTCTTCAGAGCATTGAATGATGGTTCTTATGTCAGTAGCATTTGAGCATGCCATCTATCTTGTACTTTTCCTTTTAAATCTACATAACAATGAGGTCATTACTAATTTAGAACTCCCTTAGCACCTCCCTGAACAATCTCTCTACCAGTTAAGAACCACAAACATGTACTTCAGCTACAGGCTGGAATCAGAACAGAGAGAATTCAATACGTCATTTGAAAATTTCTGTGCAAATCTAAGCAGTGTTGTACCACCAGACAAAGTAGTCACACTTTGCTCTTTAAATGTTCTTTATTAAAGAACAACAGGAAACAGGGAACATAGCATTGCATTGAAACAATGGGGAAGGTCACCATTAGCCAGAGACTTTCACCCCACTGGGACCAACCCCAAACACAAAACACCCACAACCCCAGAAACAATAAAACACATATATCACACAATGCAAACTAACAAATAACGTTAAAACATTAATGTTGGTGTTCAGCACCGGAAAATATATTTCATTTTATACTCATACTTCCAAAAGAGTGAATAAAAATGGTGGGTTTTCTCTTTAAAAATACAATGTTTGAATAAATCTTCTATCCAGATTTTTTAAATTGGGGATGGATGCACTGTTCCCTCCAGACTTCCGGCATGGTATTAAGGTTACTGCCCATTTCCACCACTGCTCTTAATACACTTGTGTATCTTTACAGAATAAGAATGCCTGAAACTCTTTCCACACTATGAGCAGTGATACCGTTTAACTCCTGTGTGAATGCGCTGGTGTTTTTCGGAGAGTACGCTGCAGAGTAAAACTCTTCCCGCACTCTGAGCAGTGATACGGCTTCTCTCCTGTGTGAATGCGCTGGTGTGTTTGGAGAGTACTCCGCTGAGTAAAACTCGTACTGCACTCTGAGCAGTGATACGGCTTCTCTCCTGTGTGAATGCGCTGGTGTTGCTGGAGAGAACTCTGTGTATTAAAACTCATTCCCACAGTCTGAGCAGTAATGTGGTTTAACTCCTGTATGAATGTGCTGGTGTGTTTTGAGAGAACTCTGCTGATTAAAACTCTTCCCACACTCTGAGCAGTGATACGGCTTCTCTCCTGTGTGAATGCGCTGGTGTGTTCGGAGAATAAGCTGCCGAGTAAAACTCTTCCCACACTCTGAGCAGTGATACGGCTTCTCTCCTGTGTGAATGCGCTGGTGTGTTTTGAGGTGACCCTGCTGAGTGAAACTCGTCCCGCACTCTAAGCAGTGATACGGCTTGTCTCCTGTGTGAATGAGCTGGTGTGTTTTGAGATGACCCTGCTGAGTGAAACTCTTCCCGCACTCTAAGCAGTGATACGGCTTCTCTCCTGTGTGAATGCGCTGGTGTTGCTGGAGAGAACTCTGTGTTTTAAAACTGTTTCCACACTCTGAGCAGTGATACGGCTTCTCTCCTGTGTGAGTGCGCTGGTGTGTTCGGAGAGTACCTTGCTCAGTAAAATTCTTTCCACACTCTGAGCAGTGATACGGCTTCTCTCCTGTGTGAATGCGCTGGTGTGTTTTGAGATGACTCTGATTACCAAAACTCTTCCCACACTCTGAGCAGTGACACGGCTTCTCTCCTGTGTGAATGCGCTGGTGTATTTTGAGGTGACTGTGTGCAGTAAAACTCTTCCCACACTCTGAGCAGCTGTGAGTTCTCTCCTTGCTGAGTTTCTGTGTTAGTCTGTGAGATGTCTTCATGTGGAGGGAAACAAACGATGTTTGCTTGGTACTGGAGCGTCTTCTGGATGTCATATTCTTGTATTTTACCTGCTTGAACAGCTAAACACTGGTCTTGCAAGAATGTCCTCACTTGCAAAAGTGCACTCTACAAGCAGGAGAAGTCTTGAACCAGGACGAAATTTATTTCTGGAAGAACAAAATGAAAAAGACAATCTAAACTCAATGTGAAATGCCACAAAATCAGTCTAAATCATGAATGCCCTACTTACATTATCTGGCAGAAAGAGTTAAGAAAGCATAAACTTCAGTCAGCTGTGGAAAAGCCAATTACCTGATCAGCCATATCAAACCCACATACTTAATCTCATCTCAGGCTTTTGTTTTTCTGAAATTGTAAAACTGTGCATTAGAATTGGATAGAATATAGGTCAATGCTTTTTTTCAGATACATATTATGTATCTAACACAGTTTTGTTACAGTATAGTATGCACTAGGTGTTTTCCATCGTTATCGCGTTATCAAGTTCAGCTATAGATGTGTTTGGAAAACCATGTAGTATTATAATTTCACTGAAGCAAGCTGAAGTTCCAAGGCACATCAGCATTTATTCTCAGTTCCATGCACTCAGGTTAATCTTTCTGTAAATAAAATAATTTGAAAGAGATTAGAGTAAAAGTAGAAGAAAAAAAATGCGATACCCAATTACCCAACATATTTAGCATGCTTTTGAACAGTAAATATGTCTTCTACTTCTCTAGTTCTCTTTCCCTACACAGGGATTATTGAGTTTTACGCATCGCCATCGGGTTGCTTGTCTATCACAAATGTTATCAGATTACAATGCCTTGTCACCCTGGTCCAGTACGTAGTCAAATAAGCATGGTCCAGATGATCTAAAAACTGATGGAATTTTCAAAATAATTTTTAACGCTTCTTGTAAATCTTCATTGTATGTGCAACGTTGTGGGACTTTGGTTAGGGTCTAAGTCTAAGTAGCTTATCTTGTTTTGACCAGGTTGGAGTGCTTGTGGTGTCACAATTAGTTGGCTAGGCTCTATGAGCTGGATTTCATTGCCTATATTGATCAACTTCTTGATCAATATAGGCAATATAGCACTCTGATCTTGCAATTTCAGCAGCTTTTCATATGTATCGAAAAGGTAGTTTTCTTGCATTCCTGTGTTCTTATTTGTTAAATTTGCATATATTGAGTTTATGCTTTCAGTGTTAATGAGTTGATTATTGTGCCCATTTTAGATTTAGTTACTGATTATGTAATGATATGTGGTGATTTTGGCTACTTTCACAACTTAACCACACCGTGTTCATATGCCTCCAATCCTTAAATCACCTGACAGAGCTCCCTACATTCATCTCCCACATACTGACAGTATAACTGCCGTGTCACATTTATTACATTTTTCGTAATTTTTGGGGGAGGGAATACCTGAAACTGTGCAGGACAGTGGCTCCCCAGGACTGGACTATGGCATACAAAGGTTTAACGTAACAACAATAAAAGAGGTGAAACCAGAACAAAACTGTTTGGAATTTAAAGATAAACAAAACACCCATCCCTTGACTGGAAACACATACAGAAATACCTGGTACAATCCATGGTTAAATGAAACTATTTTTATTTAAAACAAATGGTAGTGATGTCATTTTATCTTTTAGTTTAATGGTCAGCAAAACTGCTTATTTTCAGTGGCAAATTACATATTCTCAGATGCCCCCATCTGATTATAAGCCCCTCTAAATTTTATGTACCTCTGCTTTTGAGTCTGTATGGACTTGTTTTAAAATATCTCTGTTCATGTTTATTAATAAATCTATTTTTATATAACTATTTTATTTTAAACAAAGGAAATAGTAAAGTGCAAATTCATTATGTGTGTAAATTTAAACTGCACTGATGCAGTAGAAGCATATAAAATACCGAAAACCTATATTGATAAATAGAAAGGTTGGATAGCCTCTTCATTCTTCATATTGCTTTCTTCCGTCAAAATGATGTAGCACAACATACACATCCTACTTTTCCTATATGCATGTATTGAATATAGTACAATACATTACAATTTAGTACTGGATTATCATGTTTTTTTTTTTGTTTTTGGCCAAGTGTCAACAGAAAGCTCTGTGTTTTGGATTGGATGCTCCTCAAAAGTCTAAACTTTAAATTCTTCTTGAAATATTCTGTGTTACAATATTAGTGTGAACTTCTACGGTCAGTTACAGTGTAACTGTGAGCTTCTGTGTAACTGAAGACAAATTCCTTGAATGTACAAACACAACAGGCCAGTTAAGCCTGTTTTCTGTTCTGAGTAATCTGTTTCCTGAGGTCTGAGATTTAGAATAAATACATATATATGGCTTTATGCACTTACCCAAAGCTTTGTCCAGTTCTCTGCTGAAAATCAGTTCCTGAATCTGAAAATATCAGTCTCTGAATCTGTGTCTGTGGAAAATCATAAATCACCTGTAAGTTAATAAAAATCCAGTTTCTTTTAGCTCGTAACACTTGGTAGCTAATACAGATTGTACTACCATGGAACGACACACTGCACTGTAAAACTGTATCACTAATACACCTCTTGGTCTCTTTACAGTCTTCATCTGCAGTCTTTTGTAGAAACAATTTGAATGCCTCCAATCAGATAAAAGTAGGTGGGGAGGGGCGGGTCTTATGCTGCTGCTCGAAACAACTGGATTTCAATTCTAGTAAATCCTTTTTTTCCATTTGAGCCCAACCAACTGGTGTAGTATAAAATTAGAACTCTGCAGAGTCAGCTAAATTTATACACACAAAACAATAAAAATCAAATTGAATCTTGATCTCAGAATCTAAAATTTAATCATTAATTTAATCAAATTTAAACATTAAGTTTAAATTTAAGTTTTGATTAATCAATGTAATTAAATTTAAACATTAAGTCATGAATATGAGCCACATATTCAGTCACTTAATATGTATTATAAATGTATCATACTGAATATAATCTTACATTTTGAGTATGGTTTTGAATACACAAAAGTTAGAAAATGTAATGATAATAAACTCAAGATATTATGTAATGATTGTGAGAGAAGTAGGGCTGTATTACAGAAACTATTACAAAAAAATTTTTTGTCTTAACTTAAGATCTGAATGCTCAAGATATGATTTTTTAAAATTTAGTATGACAGGAGCCAATATTCATTTACATATCTTTTTTTATCTAACAGAATTTTATCTGAAGTTAGGACATCTTAACCTACTCAATTCAAGTCGACAATAAACCATCATGTCTGTAACCTAGCAACTGACCATATACACACAGCTGAAACATAAACACATAATCAAAATGATCAAGGTAGACAGCCAGACAGCTGCCATTACTGATGCAACAAAGGTACAACTAAACGAAAGCACTAAATATTGTGTCAGAACTTCGTACTGTTTATCTGTGTCACTGCTCCCCAGTTTCAGTCTCCATTTCCCAAACGCTTTAGCTAATGTTATTCCCCCTAATAAACAGACATGCGTTCAGCTCTGTCTCCTCATTATTCACCATCACTGTAAATATATTACTGTTAACATCAACACACAAAGGTAATCAGAGAGACGGTTTAGGTTGTGTATGCAGTATCTGAGATTTTTGAAATGCAGAGTTAGAAAAAACACCTCACAGTGAAAGCAGAGTTTCACAGTAGAAATAAATGTAGCGTCATTATGCTAGTAGTGAACTATGCTGCCTGTCACTCCATAAAACAATAGAAACAGATTGTTCAAACAGAGCGCCTCTGGGGTTGTTAGGAAGGAACTTAGGAGATTTTGATTTTGATTATTTAGGATGTTTGTGTTTTCTTATCTGGAGTTAATGGATGAGATTATGAACTTAAGAAATGTTGTTCTGTAATAGCTTCTGTCCTAAATTCAGTCCTACCTGAAGTTGTCATGGTGACTAAACAGATTTCAGAAGATTTCAGACTTAAAAAGTTTCTGTAATGTGGCCAAGATAGAAATTCTCTGACCCTTGCAGGACATTCCAATACATTACGTTACTAAATTAAAACTCCATTACATCAAAAAAAATGCTGCATTGCCATGGCAACGGCCCTATTGTCTACTTTAAATAAATGCTTCTTTTACTTCAAGTAACAAGAATGTCGTCAATGAACCTGCATTCAAATTAGAAACAATTTACTGTTTAGACCACAAAGATCAGCAGGAAAAATTACTTCATCATGAATGTCACTACCCACCCCATCATGCTCTATTCACACTCTATTCACAACCATGCTCTTTGGAGAGAGTGTGAAAGATCAAGGACCATCACTTTTCAGTTTTATATAGATCAGAGGTTCCCAGTTTGTCCTGGAGAGTCCACACTACATGCATGTTTATACTGTTCCTTATCTAGCACTCCAAATTCAACTAATTAACTAATGAAATGCTGGATGGTGAGTGTTAAAGTAGAGAAAGTACAAAAACATGCAGAGTGCGTGGTCCCCAGGACTGAGATTGGGAAGATAAGAACCAACCCATCAAGCTCCTGAACAGCTCACACAGTGCACCCCCCTCTAAAAAGTCCTCAAATACCCAACATAAACTTTCATGCCAGTTCTTTATCAACCAGCCATTGACCACCAACCCCCACTCAGACATTCACAGCTCTTAGGAAGCTCTTTATATTGTTCTAGAACAAACTGCTGTTTTCTCACCACTTTTGTGAAAACAGTTCTACCCATCTTGGATAATGTCAGCATATTCAGTCTCTATTTGCTACATGTTTAATAGGCATGACTTGTTTTGCACATTATTTTATTAGTGAATGGTTGATAAAATCTGCTTTATGTGTTCAAACTGACAATGAAGCAAATGTATAAACCCTTTCATGTCCTCACCATGAAAAAACACACACAAACACACACATCTTTCTATGATAAGATAAAGCAATGTTTTTTGTATTTTTTTTATTTGTTTAGGGTAATA